TTCATATATTGTACAGATTCTTGATTGAAAAAAATAAAACAAACAAAAAAATATTTTTGATATGTTTATGTTACTGTAATTATGGTTTTTTTGGTCATGTCAGATATGGAGGAATAGGAAAAAAAAACTTGGTTGCACCTATTTTTGGCCCTCTTCATAGGGTGATTAAAGTCAGGCCCCAGCCTTGCACAGATATTTCTTACTTAGCTGTCTCACTGCTCCTCAAATAAACATAGCTGAGATATTTAATCAGTATAATATTGTCTTCTTTTCAAATTATAAATGTATTATCATCTAATGGTAGAGGAAAACAGGACAATTTTGTAATAGATCCTTGCAAATGGTAGTGATATACTCCTTTCCTTTTTTTTCCTTTTGAATGTGTTAGTTTATTCTGAGAATTAAGCTCTTGTTCATTACATTTTTCATAACCACAAGTGAATGCCATAGAATTGTCTCAATGGTAAAGTAGGTTGTTGTTAAGCCTAATGACTTGAGTTCAATCTCTGGAAGACTCAAATACCTACAAAATTTTCCCTTAGTGCCACATTAGGGCTTTGGCACATGCACACTCCCTCAATGGCACATACCTAAATAATTTTTAAACCCAAATAAATGTCATTGATGTCACTTGCTGCCAGAAGACTCCTTGGTTTCATCTCTGGAACTCACATAGGAGAAGTAGTTAATAGACACTTTGAAGTTGTCCTCTCACTGCCACATCCACATGATGGCACAGGCATACATGCACAGAGTTCAGACATTTTTAAATGGATAAAATTAACAAAGCAAGTAACCCAGTTATTGGGAATATATGAAATGATTAGCCAGTTTACATTATAATTACAGAAATTCAAGTGGTATTACTGTTCAATGCAACATTGATGATTTCTTTTAAAATCTTATGTTATCATTTAATTCTCTGAGTTAAAGATAGAACATTTAAAAATGTATTTCATTTGGCCTTAGAGGAGCATGCCTGCAATCCCAGCATTTGAGGAACAGTGACAAGCCAATATCTCTGAGTTTGAGGTTTCAGGTAAGGTTGGTTCAAATAGTGAGTTGCACTACAACCATGGCTTTGTAGAGGCATCCTATCTCAAAAAATTCTTAAAATAGCCAGACGGTGATGGCAAATACTTTTAATCCCAGCACTTGGAAGGGAGATCTCTGTGAGTTCGAGGCCAGCCTGGACTACAGAGGGAGTTACAGGAAAGACACAAAGCTACACAGAGAAACCCTGTCTTGAAAATCCAAATAAATAAATAAATAAATAAATAAATAAATAAATAAATGAATGAATGAATGAATAAATAAATGAATAAATAAATGAATAAACAAACAAACAAATAGTGAATAAACAAATAAACAAATAAATAAAATTCTTAAAATATATGGCATATCTCAAATTATAGATCTTTTTCTATAAAATCTGAACACTGACTGGTTTCAACAAATCAGGTTTGTTATCTTGGCTCACATCAAGGGAATTGTGTTAATAATGAAAATAAGAAGCAAAGCAGAGAGTCCATTCAAAGATGGCTAAAAAGCCATTGAACTCTTTGATAGCCATCTAGAGGGGACTTTCATCACCTTCAAGTGACAGGAGACAGAAGAAGTAACCTGGCATCTTAACCTGCATTTTAATGTCAGATTTGGGAGCTGGAAAGTTTACTGAATATTCATGTTCCTCTTGGACATACAAGTTTGGTTCCTAGACCCAGATGACCCAGAATTACCTATACTTCTAGGTCCTGGAGATGTTTTGCATTCTGTTAGGGTACCAGAAATACAAATGGCAAAAAGACAGATATGTGTATGATTTGATACTTTTGGAAAAGTTTTTCTTCATGCATATGTTATTTTCAAAAGGAATGAAGTTTGATTTATATGTATAAGTTTTCCTAGTGTGTATATCAAGAACATGCCAATTACTGGAGTATATCATAAGAGACTGTCTGATCCCAGGTGCCTGTAGTTACAGAGAGTAGTGAGCTGTCTTTTGGGTGCCGGCAATCAAAGTCAGGCCCTGTGAATGAACAGCCAGTGCTCTCAGGTGTTGAATCTTCTATTCAGTCCCATGAAAATGTCATTATAGCAGTGAAGTGTATTGGATGATCCTGATTTCATCTTCAATTCAGCCCTTATTTTCCAAAAGAAATACAAGATTGAAAGGACCCAAAATTAACTTAGACATAGTACTTAAAGAAGTTTCCAAGCCCAAATCTCTACAAAATAAGGAAAGAGTGCAAGAAATGATCAGAAGTGTAATTGACAAAGCAAGTCTTTTTTAAAGATTTATTTATTTTTATTATATATGCAGTGTTCTGCCTGCATGCCAAAAGAGGTCACCAGATGGTATCCAGCCCCCAACAATACACGTCTTAAACAGTGTCTGACTGCTGGACCAAAACCATGAGACATGAGTTTATCTCCAATACCAAAAAATGAGCAGCAATGTGAGTCCACAAGGACAACTGGCAGGTGTACCCTTGCTGGAGTTTATGCCTCCTGTAAGAAGAGGAGAGGAAAAAGCAAGAATGAAGACTGACTTGTCTGAATGGAATCCTATTTTTCTTCCTTGATACCTGTAAAATTCTGTTGGAGCTCCTAATTGCGGTGATTCCAGATGACATCCAGCTTGTCAGGAGATCTTGCGACTTAAACAGAAGTCACTGTAAACCAGTGGCAATCAGAAATTCAAAAAGAGCTATAGAGTATGGAAGAAGTGTTAGAAGACAGTTTTCGGTGTGAAAGCCCAGGATCAAATGACCAGAGAGGAATGCTTAGGGTGTACCTGAGAAAAGCTGTCTCCTACTGTGCTCTCTGTATTGACTCAGGTGTGGTGAATTAGTGCATTCCAGGTCTCTCACTCTTTCCTGTTTTGACAACTACATGTAGCTGTCCCTGACAATTTTCTGCAGGACCCTTTTTCTGGTCCACATTTGGGCTTTAAAACTCCTCAGTCTGCACCTGTCAATCCCTGTAACCTACATTCCTGGTAGGAATAAGGATGTTCTAAAGAGATATTTCTACCTCTCTTTTTGGCTAACAATTATTGGAAGAGTGGACCACATGAAATTGTATTTTCATCAAGTAGTGGTGGCACACACCTTTAATCCCAGGACTCAGGAGGCAGAGGCAGGTGGATCTCTGTGAGTTCGAGGTCAGCCTGGTCTACAAAGCAATTTCCAGGAAAGGCACAAAATTGCCCAGAGAAACCCTGTCTCAAAACTGCCCCACCCAAAAAAGAAAGAAATTTTAATTTCATTGGGCATCTCATTGTTAGAAAAGACTTGAATCCTCCAGATGATAATTCAGCATGGTTTTAAGATGGGAAAAAATTAATTACATGGCTTCATTAGATTACTTGATTTTGCATATCTTTTGCCTTCTATATAAACCTCTTAGGACCTCAAGGTGGATTAGTTATCTTATATTTTCTTTATTGTTCCAAATTTGTCAATTTGAATAAATATCATGTTTTAAATTTTCATTAATAATTTGCTTTTTTTCCTTTTCTCTTTTCATTTTGTAAAGAATAGTATTACTATGACTCCCTGGCTGGCCTGGAACTCAACTACAGACTAGTCTGTCCTAGGATATCAGAGAGATCTGTTCACCTTGTCTCCAGAGTTCCTGCATTATAGGTGGGCATGTTGCTCACTGGATAACTTGGTTCATTCACTTGACTTACTGAAGATGAGTGGCTGTGCCTGCCTAGTTAGAGTAGCCAGGGGAGAGGTTCTGATCCTATCTTCAGTAACAGAAGAAGGTTCCCATCAAATGTAGCCTGCCTGCCTTAGTGTTACCTTTCTTCCAACTCTAAGAAATTTTATTTTTCTTTATTACTGAGTCTGTTACAACTCATCAATGACCTGGGAAGAGTTCTGTCCTTATTTTGCAGAAAGTGAAACCCAGGCTCACAGAGATAAGTATTTTTGAATATAGTTAAGTATAATTGTTCATGTAACTCATCCCATCATTCTAATGCCTCATGAAATGCATTTGAAGCAGCTTAGGCTAGACATGGTGGCTCAGGCCTGCAATCATGGTACTTAGAATTTGGAGATAGGAATTTCAGATTTTCAATGTCATCCAAAATGAGAATGGTCAATGGGTTATGGTTGGAGTATAAGACCAAAATGAGCCGTCTTAGAAATAAGACCAAAATGCTTTCACCCTAAAATTAAGGCCTAAGATTTCTCCTTTTGGGAATAGGCCATTAGTTACTGAAACCAGTCAGTTCAAATTCCAGAAACCAGGAAGTGTAAAAGTACAGAGTCACAAGATAGTCATGAAGTAATGCCTATCAGACTATGGAATGTCCTCTCCCTTGTTTCCAGGGTAACTGACCACAGAAATGCCCCCACCTGAGGGCAGCCAATGAGATATGGTGGCAGGCAACCACTCCCTTAGAAGTAATTTGTAGCAGTCCCTATAAGTGAGCCAATCAGAATTGTACCTGTACTAGCACCCCTAAATGATATAACCTTGTGATTTTTCACTTTAAAAACTGAGCTTGCAGATAGGTGGGCACTTCCTCCAGCCTCCACTGCATTGGATGTATTGGATGAAGTCCCTGCCTAGGCTTGTATTGCTTTTGGATATCCAGAATTAAACCTTGCTTTTGCATTCTGGTATGCTCGTCTTCAGTGGTCTCTCTGGGGGTCACGATCTGGGCATAACAGGAGGACCAGAGAACCAAGGGAAACTGATTGGCTGGGGACAATGTCCATAGTCTTCCCTGCAGCTCCAGAAATTCAAGGCCAAGGGAACAGCAATTTTTAGCTGAGGTACTTACCACCTCAAGTTTACTATTATTTATAATGTTTTCCTATTCTTGTAAATGTTTTTTGTCCAAGGCACCTAGATCACTTGGGAATAAAACTCTTATTGCTCACTAAATAGTGGTATTCCCCTGCAGGTGGACAAATTAGTCTTGGGCAGGGATGAGCTCCCTATTTGCTTATCCAATATAATGTCTTCATCCTTGAATCTTTATATACACAACCAACAGATTTGGACTCAGCAGGTTTTATTCATATGTTTGTGCATACATATTCTCACATGCTTAATAAGGAAGAAATTGGAAGGGAAAAATTTGGGAAGGGATGGAGAGAGGAAAAGAAGGGGGGGAAATGATTAAATACATATTAATTTGTGAGAACAAAATGAGCCATCTTAGAAATAAGACGAAAATGCTTTCACCAAAAACTAAGGCCTAAGATTTCTCCTTCAAGGAATAGGCCAATAGTTACTGAAACAAGTCAGACCAGATTCCAAAAACCAGGAAGTGTAAAAGTATGGAGTCCCAAGGTGGTCACGAGATAATGAATACTGGACTATAGACTGGTCTAACCCTGGTTTCCAGGGTAACTGACCATAAAAATGTCCCCACCTGAGGGCAGCCAGTGAGCAATGGTGGCAAGCAACCACCCCCTTAGAAGTAAGATTAAGCCATGATTTTTTTGAAAGCCCCTAGAAGCGAGCCAATCAGAATTGTACCCGTACTAGCACCCCTGAATGATGTAACCTTGTGATTTTTCCCTTTAAAAACTGGGTTTGTAGATAGGTGGGCACTTCCTCCAGCCTCCACTGCATTGGACCTATTGGATGAAGTCCCTGCCTAGGCTTGTATTGGATATCCAGAATTAAACCTTGCTTTTGCATTCCATCATGCTCATCTTTGGTGGTCTCTCTGGGGGTCATGATCTGGGTACAACAAATTAAAATGTATGAAAATAGATTTAAAATAAAGAAGTGGCCTAGGGAGATACCTTAACAATTAAAAGCAGCACCAGTTGTTGTTATATACGACACAGGTTCCATTTTAACTAGCCATCTCCTGTAACTCTCTTCTGGCCTTTGCAAGTACTCTGTACAAATGCCTGGAGGCAAACATCTGTACATATAAAATAAAATAAAGCTTAAAAAATGGAATCCTATGCAATGATGTCACAGCCCTGAGACAGACAGCAGCCAGGGCAAGTTAAAATGATCTCTGTTGTGCCCAGGTCACAAGATCCCTAAGCTAGACCACCACAGAGCCATTATCTGATGCAAGCACACAAGCTTTGAAGAACAAAATAAGCAAGCTCGGTCACGTTCATCATTCGACACAGCAGGTGGAGGAAAATGGCCCTGAGCACTCACTTTAAGCAGTTTATATAGGAAACGTTTACATGCAGCTTGGGATGGGACGAGGGCGCTAGGTGTGAGGTAGTTTTTTAAGTTACCAGTTGAACTATAACCTTGAGATTACTGATGACTAGCAGGATTCACGGTATTACAGAGACATAAATTTTTACTCCCTATGTCCTGCTTTTGTTGAACCCAGGATATGTACATTCAGATTTATTGTTCCTGTCCTACTCTCCCGAGTTCAACTTCTGTTTAATTGAGCCCATTACTCCCTATATGTTGTTTTGCCAAGTCTAGGATACATAGATTTATTGTCCCAGCCTTAAAAGTTCAACTTCTGGTAACTTCTAAACCTGTTGGTCAGCAAAAACTTTTGGAGGAGGGGAGGGGGAAGCATCTCTCAAGATGGCTACTGATTTTCCCTTTTTCTCCCAATCCTGCATGCTTGTAAGACATTCTATGAAATCAACTTTCTACATACATGGAGAGATTCATTCTATCAGTCCTGATCATGTAGAGAAGCTTAATTAATAGAGTTTATGTTTTTTTTCTTCACCTGTCTATGGAGAAAGATGTGCTGGCTAACAATGGTGCTCATAAATGCATTCTTCCTGGCTCCATTACTCTCTAAGTATTCTTCTTTCCATGAAGACTACTCTTTATTATTATTTATTTTGCCAAAACTTTGCTCTGAATTTCAGGAATAAAACTTAAGGAGGATGGAGCCTTCCTTCAGCTTTCTGATGGGAGAAAGACCTTTTATCTTGTTTGTGATCTAGTTTCTGCTTTCCTTGATGCTTGTCTGGAGTCTCTGTGACAACCAGGTAAAAAGTACCTTCAGTTCACCTGATGTCAGTGTTAAGTCACACAACAAACACTCTTCTTGTGTGTCTTTAAATATCTCTACAGTTGTTAAAATTTTGGGTACTCTTCTACCTGTGTGGCAGCAAATCACTCCACCCCACATAGTATAGTGGTCTGGACAAGCTAGCTATCCACATTGTGTCCAGGAGGAGGAAGAGGAAGTACCTATTGAGAGCAGGAAGAGATCAGGTCTGCTTTGCAGCCTGGGGCAAGAGCTATTGAAATGCATATTTCTGCTGAACTAGAAAATGTCTTTGTCTGTGGTAGAAGGGAGGGACAGGAATCATTGTGCTCTGTTTTTCAGCACACTTCCTAGTCCCAGGGAAGGCCTCTGAATAACTTTGGTCTGTGGGCTGATTCTGCTCACAGAATGGGGAGCAGGGAGCTGTGTGTAGAAAGATATTTGTAATTAAATTAAACATTCTTTTTGTTTGAAAGTGTTATGTCCAGTTTGCAGGGATCACCAAAAATCCACTATGGAGGCTGTATCCCATAAGTGAAATCAAAGAGCATTTATTTTCAAGCTCCGGGGCATCGTTTGTCTGTCCCACACAGCAGGGAGAGCAGAGAACCCTGAGCTCAGGTGGGATTGGGTTTTTATAATAGCAATGGTTAGGGTGAGGAAATTTCCAGAATTCAGGACCCTGATTGGCTGACTATTATCTAGGGGTATCTGAAAAATAAAAAGGTGTGTGCAAGATTCAAGGATATTTGGCTACCTTATCTAATTCTTGGAATGTTTGGGATGTTAGGTGCTTCCACATCCCTGGGTGGATCCCTGGGTGGTGTAAGCTTATTTCTTTTCCTGACTCTGGGTGTTGCTTGCTAGTAAGCCTGTCACAGAAGGTATGTCTGGGCCTCTAATCCTGTCATGCAGCTATGTGGTCAGGTTGTTTGGGGACACTTCCACAAAAGCACGTTTCTAAACTAGAAGAGGCCCAGTTTCTCCAGTACCTTCTAGAGATTCAGCACTTTGAATTTACCTTTCATGTTTAAGATCCTTTTTCATTAATTTTGTGGAGATTGTAAAAGGCATCTAATGTGTTAGGTAGAACTCCACTGCTAAGGTTTAATATAGAAGAGTAGAATTAGTGATATAAAAGATTCACTAATTCTTTGGCAATAGCAAGTCTCACAAAATAGAATTTAGGTGAAAGAGGACTGCCTAAAAAAACACAAAATAGGTATATTCTCCAGGGCTGTTAGAGATTAGGACAGTAGGATACACATTTGTTCACCAGGATTGTCCAGACACTTGGCTCCAAAGCATTTCAAAGGAGACACTGCCCATTTACCACAAGCCACTATGCCTAATCCTATATCAAAGAATATCTAACAAGCTGCTCATTAAGGCATTGCAGGTTCACATCCAACCTTAAGTCCTGTCATGTCATAAAATTCCAATTTCTTCTTTAGAAAGGCATAGTTCTGGGCGGTGGTGGCACACGCCTTTAATCCCAGCACTCGGGAGACAGAGGCAGGTGGATCTCTGTGAGTTTGAGGTCAGCCTGGTCTATAGAGTGAGTTCCAGGAAAGACGCAAAGCTACACTGAGAAACAATGCCTTGAAAAAAAATTTCCTCTAGAAAGGCACAGTTCTGCCAGATGGGCAGTATGGCCAAGTGGCAAATGTTTGAAAAGTAAAACACAAGGTTTATGGTGGTACACACCTTTAATCTCAGCACTCACTTGAGAGGCAGAGGCAAGTAGATCTCTGTGTGTTTGAGGACAGCCTGATCTACAGAGTGAGTTTCACGAGAGGCTCCAAAGCAATACAGTGGAACCCTCCCTTGAAAAACCAAAAAAAAAAAAAAAAAAGAAAAAGAAAGAAAGAACAAGAAAGAGAAAAAAGAAATGTAGAGCTGGGTGGTTGTGATGCACACCTTTAATCACAGCACCGGAGAGGCAGAGCCTGTGGATCTCTGTGATTTCAAGGCCACCCTGGACTACAGATCGAGATCCAGGACAGGCACAAAAAACTACACGGAGAAACTCTGTCTCACAAAACCAAAAAACCATAAATAAATAAATAAATAAATAAATAAATAAATAAATAATAAAATAAAATAAAGAAATGGAAAACACTGTTGTGTTACAGAGTTGCCTAATGATGCAGGGCTTTCCTTTATGCCCTCAGGCAGGAAGGAGGAAAATTCTTGAAAAGGTAGTTAAAACCTAGGACCTAGACCTTGAGAGCATTCCCTAAGGGTCTGATGTGTTGAGAATAGAACAGCTCCTTCCCTAAAGCCAGAAATATGTTTTGGAGATCTGGTAATGGTCTAGGGCTAGGGCCTTTGTGGTGGGGTTTTTTTCAGATCATGAATTTATCCCATTGTGTGATAGTTTCTGCTAACTTTATAAAAGTCATCCATTTTCTTCAGTTTCCCCCCTGGAAGTAGTATACAAGTTGCTATTCTTCTTAAGAAGCTAAGTTGAGGCTGGAGAAATGGCTTAGAGGTTAAGGGCACTGGCTACTCCTCTTCCAGAGGTCCTGATTTAAATTCCCAGCAACTACATAGTGGCTCACAACTATCTATAATGAGACCTGGTGCTCTCTTCTGGCCTGCATGCATACATGCAGGCAGGTTACTGTATGATGCATAATAAATAAATAAATAAATAAATAAATAAATAAATAAATAAATAAATAAATAAATCTTTTTTTAAAAGGTGCTTAGTTGACATGAGACATAGATTGTACAAGACCTCATTCTTTTTCTCTCTTTCTTATCTCCTTCACCTCAGAACCCTGTTACTGAAGAAGATCTTACTGTTTCATATCACTGGGTTATTTAAGAAATAATTTTGGAAATGTCTTTGCTGTGTAAGTCTCCCATCTGTCTAAGTGGGTGGAGTTGCAGTATTTGGTCTCAATTTGAATTACTCAAAGTGTAATCTGAAGCTTGAATCTAAATGTCACAAGGATGATGGAATATGGGGAATGCAAGATCTCTTCTAGGCTGGTTCCTCTTTGAGCATTAGCCAGAGATGGATGCATGCTTTCATTAAAGAGATTTTTTTTCCATATTAATCTCTTAATTGTGTGGAGTGATTTCTCCCTTGGGAGGCATATTGATTCTAGGACACTTGCATTTTAACCATTTTAGAAAGATGTTTCTGACACAAGCTCTCTTATGTTGACACAAATGGCCATGGTCCCAGTGTGTTGCTCTCCAGGTCAGTGATCTTGCTGTCCTCCATATTACAGCTGCAAAATCTTAAACTGAATGATTGTATCACCTCTAGGTTTAAAAACTCCCCATTTGATTCATCCAATTTAGTATCCATTGTTGTAAAAGGAAAGGACTTGCATTTGGAGCATGGTTTCTACCTTCAGACCAGAATAGATGGAATAGCTTATTGTGCACACTACTTCGGTAAAGAGGGTAGATAATAAGCTGCTGAAGTCACCATTATTAAAAAAAAAAAAAAACAGAACCTGATTATAGTAGGAGGAGTGATTTTGTAATTTCTAAGCATTTACTAATTGAAGTGTTAGGAATTAAGACAGACGAGACTAATTGGAATGAAGGGACTGTGAAAATTTCATGTGCTGGTGGCCTGGCACCCTTGACCCAGCATACATTATAGGCAGGTCAAGTTTCAGTTGAATGTTCTGTGGCTGGCTTGGTGTCCCAGGTCCATCACTGGAGCCTTATGTAGTTACAGAAAATTGCTAGTTCAGCCTCCATATTCTTAATTGTTTGGAATCCTAACTAGGGTCACCCATATGAGTTCCAAGATGTTTTTTTTTTAGATTTATTTATTATCTATGCAGTATTCTGCCTACATGTGTCCCTGCAGGCCAGAGGAGGGCACCAGATCTCCTTACAAATGGTTGTGAGCCACCATGTAGTTGCCAGAAATTGAACTCAGGACCTCTGGAAGAGCAGTCGGACTCTGAAACAATGAACCATCTCCCAGCCCAGGTTCCAGGTTGTTTACATTGCACTATTTTCATAACCCCTGCTAAAAGCTCCCCTATTCCAGTTATCTCTCCCTACCTTCTCCTCATTTGTCTCTTCCTTACTCACCTGATCCTTCCTGTTCCCATCCCAACTTGCCATCAGTGCACCCAAAAAATCTATTTTATTCCCTCTTCCAAGGGAGAGCCACAAATCTCTCCTAGGGCCATTGTTTATTATTTAGCCTCTCTGCATCTATGGATTGTAGTGTGATTACTGTGATTACTGTGATTGTACTTTACTGAACTACTTATATCTACTTATAAGTGTGTACATACCATGTTTGTCATACCATGTTTGACTCACTCAGGATAATACAGAACTAAAGAATCTTGACAACATCAAACCAAGTAATTCCTTTATAACGGGACATACCTCTAAACAGAATTCTCAGTAGATGAATCTAAAGTTGCTGAAAAAGACTTGAAGAAATGTTCAACATTCTTAGCCATCAGGGAAATGCATATTAAAACTCCTTTGAGATTTCATTTTATATCTGCCAGAATGAGATCAATAATACAAATGATAGCTAATGCTGGCAAGGACATGGAGCCAGGGGAGTCATTGCTTTGACAAGTGCAAACTTGTACAGCCACTGTGAAAAATAAATATGCAATCCTCTGAAAATGGGTAGTCAATCTACATGAAGACCCAGCTTGGGCATATATCCAAATGATGGTCCTCCACCCTACCACAAAGACAATTGCTCAACTATATTCATTGTGGCTTTATTTATAATAGCCAGAAACTGTTATGTCTGTGAGAGATTTTGCTGATTGATGATTGAAATGAGAAGGCTCCTGCACCTAAGGTAGCAGAAATGGCTATTCCACCTAGGATGACTGTAGAAAGAACATACCCCAGTTACGGGGGAGGAATAATCATTCTTGATTCAGACATGGTATAACACTCATTTATTCACACAGTAAGATTACAAGTAATATTTATCCTGTCTTCCAAATGGAAATGGAGTACCACTCCAGGTGTACAGGTCCGGACTCACCACATCTGTTCCTATGGATCTTGGGTCAGTCATCCTCCGGTCAGCCATGTCTGTATTGGGGACAGGATCTCACGTCTCATGCAAGGGTCTGACAAGATCTGTTGATCAGGTCTGAGGCTTCATTTTATATCCCTTTCTGGCAAGGTTTCTAGTCTTATCCCAACTTCCACACATAGATTATAGCTCATCCTTACTCCATCTGTGGTTTACTTAAGTCATTCTATTGCTTATCACTCCTGTTCACCCTAGGTCTTATATGTTCCTTACAGTGACAATAACCCTAAGAAAGTGGGCCTGGGCTAGAAAAGGGAGCCAACTGTGCATGAGACAGTTACTGCCAAGAGAGAACCCCAGAAAGCAATCTTTGCCTGTGGGTTTTTCCTTCAATTGTTAGCATGGATTTTTATCCTCATCTCCCAAGGTGATGGAGTGTGATCTGACACAATCAGCCAAATAAACCCATTCATTGCCTGATATGTCTTTGGTTAGAGGCTTTAATCACAGCAAGATAAAAGAAAGTTAAAACAAAAAAATGTAACACCAACAGTGATTTTATTGCCAGGTAGAACCTGAGAATGTTGTCTTTTGGAAGAATGTGGAAGATATCAGGACCTTAGTTGGCAAAAACCATAGAAAGTTACACACAGAACATTATTGGTCCATTGTGTATGAGTAGGAAGATGGGAATGTTAAGAGTAATGGCAGAAAGTGGAGATTGAGACTATAGAATTTCAGTCAAAATGACTCAGTAAAAATTAAGCTAACAGTCATTTGTGTCATATTTTGGCTCCAAATGACTTCTTATTCTGTCAATGCCCAGGATATTTATTAATGCAGAATTAAAAAATAATGTGCTAGTTTCTTAAATGGAATATTGATTCTGTTGGAGTGTTTTTATAGACTCATTCAGGTGAACAATGGAAGAAAACAAGAGAGGCAGAAACAATTGAAAATGAGAAGGTAGTTTCAGAGGGCTGTGAAGTGCTGAAAAAGGCAAGGGTTTTCAAAGACTTGATCACTGTTATTCAGAAAATGGAAGCATGAAGGGTAATGGAAGGTCTCCTAAGGTTAATGCTCTATTTACGTAGTGCTTGAAATTATGAAATGAGAAAGCACAGTGATTTCTAGTCCCAGGAAGCAACTTCATACAAAATCTGTTTCACCTGTGGTCCAAGCATGTTTTTGTCCATCCCAATCAAGAAGTCAAACTTTGCAGGATCCACCATCATCTGCTGGTCCTGGAAACAAGAGAGAATCAAAATTTAAGGTCATCGATTCTTAGCCTCTGGTTACAGTTCAGCATTTTTGCAGGCATCTATGATTGGCAGAGACAGAAATCAAGTGAGGAGATTGGGAGGGTTCACTGCATGAAGTAGTGAGGATGAGGCTTGGTGCTTTTTTATTCTTTTTTAACTCTTTACTCTTTTGGTGTCTGGCTACCCAGTTCTAAAATTAATTGCACACATAGAGGCTTAGTCTTTCTTATAATTGCATGGCCTTAACTTGGCTTGTTTCTAGCCAGCTTTTCTCACCTTAAATTATCACATCCACCTTTTGGCTTTTAATCTCCTCTATTCTGTATACCTTTCTTTTCTTGTTACTCCATTGCTTGCTGTGTAGGTGAGGGGATGGCCCCTGGTGTCTTCTCTCTCTTTTTTTTTCTTTCTTGCTGCTTCTTCCTTTTTTCTATGCAGATTTTTTTCTCCCATTTATTATCTCTGACTGCCAGCCTTGCCTATCCTTTCCTGCTGAGCTATTGTCCATTCAGCTTTTTATTAGATCAATCAAGTATTTTAGACAGGTAATGTATCACAGCTTCACAGAGTTAAATGCAACATAAAAGATTGCAACACATCTTTGCATCATTAAAAAATGTTCCACGGCATACACAAATATAACACATCTTAAAATAATATTCCACACACCTGCATTGCATTTTGTGACCACAAGATGTTGAGATACCTAACCTATGAGACATCTTCCATTTAGACTTAGCTGCATATAGACAGTAGAAGTAACCATAGAGATAAATGTTTGGGAAATTGCAGGGAAAGGGCAATCTAAGCCCTTTTGAACTGAAGCCCCTTGCATCTGAGACAGAGATACAGGATTTGTTGTTTTTCTTCCTGTGCTTCAATCTTTTCTTGGTTCAACCTTCCCTCACTGTGTCTCCATTTCACTGTTTTGGAATGTGAATGGGACTGTGTGCCATTGTATGTTCAAAATATGTAACTCTACTAATTTTACAAGATATCACTGTCAAGAGATCATCTTGAGGATCAGAAGAGACTTTGGACATTTGAACAGTGTAAGGGCTGTTACAGACTATGAGGATCATTGAAGTAACTAAATGCATTTTCTTCATGAATGACCATGAGCCTTAATGACTTGGGTCAAAATGTGATTGATTTAAAAACCTCCCAGTTAAGACACTATATTTGGATACATGTTTCTCCTTGGATATTTCTTTGTATTGTTTTGAAACCTTTACTAGGAGGAGTCTTTCTGGATAAAATTCCTCACTAGGAGTGTAATATGCATCTCAACAGTCTCAACACATTTCCTGTTTGTTCTGTATACTGTGTTGTGTTGAAATTAATCAGCCAACTTCCTTCCTGTTCTGTCATGCCTTCACCAACATTATAGACTCTATCTCAAAATCACATAAGATAAAGTAGAAGCAATTGTAATTCAGTGATAAGGCAGTTTGGTAGCCTGCTCTTTTAATTTTTTGTTGTTGTTGTTTTTGAAGACAAGGTTTATCTGTGTAGCCCTGGCTGTCCTGAAAGGAGCTCTGTACACCAGGCTAGCCTCAAACTCAGAGATCCCGCTGATTCTTGTCCCCACATCCTGCAACAAAAGGAGGACCAACATTCCTAGCTTTTTTGTTTTTATATTATTGGGTGATGGGCTTGAGATGTAGGTTTATACATGTCAAATATATGCTGTTTTACAGATTTTCACCTGTATCTTGTACTTTAAAATTTGGCAGAGAGCATCCTTCTGTTTCTCAGGATGGCATGTACTCATGACACTAATATTGCCTGCACCTTTTGAGTCATTGTATAGTGGGTGTATGAACTTCTTCCTGCCTGTTGTGTTTTGTTTTAATTTTTAAGTGAATATGAATATTTTACCTGTATGCATAGATATACACCACATGGGAAACTGGTCATCACAGTAATCAAATGATGATCTTAGAAACCCTGAGGTTGGAATAATGAATAGTTGTGATCTCCCATGTAAGCAAGAGCAATTGAGCCCACCTCCATTCAAAACAAAAAAGAGCTCTTTGCTGCTATACCATCTCTCCTGCCCTGTGTTGATTATGTTTGATCAACATTTATATTTCTAAAGTTTTCATCTGTCCATTTATAACTGTTACAATGTGCAGTGCCTTTTATCAAAATCTTATTGATGTTACAGCTTGAATTGCACACTTCATGTTCTTGAAGATGAAAACAGAACTGTAATGAATCCAACACTCTTTTAAGGAACTTCAGTAAAAACCTCTGAGCTTCCTCTGTAGCTAGAGTTTTCCTGCCTTGCCCACAGTCAGGAAAAATTCTTGTCACCCGCCAGTCCCACAGCTGCTCAGACCCAACCAAGTAAACACAAAGACTTATATTGCTTACAAACTGTATGGACATGACAGGCTTCTAGCTATCTAGTTCTTACATCTTAAATTAATCCATTTCCATAAATCTATACCTTGCCATGTGGCTCATGACTTACTGGCATCTTCACATGCTGCTTGTTTTGGCGATGGGTGGCAGTGACTTCTTCCACCTTCCTGTTCTTTTTTTCTCTTCTCTGTTAGTCCCACCTATACTTCCTGCCTAGCCACTGGCCAATCAGTGTTTCATTTATTGACCAATCAGAGCAATTTGACATACAGACCATCCCACAGCATTTCTCTATCTTTTTTGTTGATTTTTACATGGAAGACACGGTCTTAATTTATAGTTCTGGATTTTCTGGGCCTGATGTTGTAGAGTAGACTTCTATTCAACTCAGAGGCAGATATACCTGCCTCTGCTTTCTGAGTGCTTGGGTTAAAGGTATGAACATTACACCTAGTCTACCTAACCTACTTTTCTTTTCTGTAGTTCCTAATTATTCATACAATTTCACTCATGTGTACTCTGTACTGTTGATCTGTTTACTTGTCTCTCTATGTTAATAGGCATTTCTCTTGCAAAGTAATATCTCATTCAAGGGGTACAGAATTGACAGAGGTAAACCTCCTATTCAGTTTTCATCTAAAGTGACTTGGTGATTATATTGCAATGTCTATGTTATGAAATATTGTGGGAGGATCAGAATTATATGACTATACTGTCAAAGAAGTATACATTTACAATACTTTCTGCTGTACACATGTATGGGATGTTTTAGAATGTAGTGACCTATGATGATGTGCATGTTGGCTTCACTTGGGAAGAGTGGACTTTGCTGGATCCTTTCCAGAAGAATCTCTACAAAGATGTGATGCTGGACACCTACTGGAATCTCACTTCTATAGGTAAGACTGAATATTCCTTCATGTTTTAAAATAAGGGGACAATATTTCCTTGGTTATTGATTCTCTTCAGTAATTTGATTGAGAAAGGAGAATGAGGTGAATAATTCAGTCATGCTTCAAAGAGTCACTGAAGATAGTAACTTAAATTTTGCAGTTTCCAATAAAATATCATCCATTTTCTGATACTATATTTTAGGGTACATTTGGAGAGACAATACTACTGATGAACATTTTCAAAGTTCCAGAAGACATGGAAGGTAATTGTCTTGTGCAAGTTGATAAAAATACACCTTTGAAGAAATTGTAATGTGTTCTGGAAGTATTAAACAAATGCAACAGTGTAAATAAGCACTGTTTGAAGTGTGTTGGTGATTATTAAATTCTTACAAAGCACATACCTCAATTTTAAGTAGTTGAATTAGATTTGCAAGGCATTCTTTTAAGAAATAAGACAAGGGGAAATGCCTCAGCAGCTATCAACTTTTGAATCATTGCACCATGAGAACTATGCTGTAGGACTGTAAACCCATTTATTTTATCATACTCATATTACAAAATTAATAATCTGTGAAGAGGTGAGATGTATATCTTCAAAAAATTCTAGTAAGCAGAGTCCATAATAAAGATAGTATTGCTCATATATTTATTGTGACTGTGCTGTTTAGTGAGAAGGGCAGTTAGAGTCAATAGTCAATGGGCATTGTCATGGAGAAATGTTAATCTCTATTATAAATCTATGAGGACAGGAAGTCAAACTGAATTCATTGTGGAAACCTTTTATTTGTCATTCTTCCTTTACTAGGTATATCATTTGTCACTCTGGATACAAGACATATGAGCATAGAGATACGGAAAGACATATCATACCTCTCTCTCAGACCAATTAGAAAATATGTAGCAGTCCCCACATTGAATATATTTGTTGAATTTGATGCAAGTATTCAGTTAATTGTGTTTCTAGCTTCATTAAGACACCAACAAACTCACATTACAGAAAAGCCCTATGAGTACTAGGACTGTGTAACTACAACATGAGTGTAAACATAGTGATAAAACCTAAAGATCTTTTTCCTTTTATAATATGACCAAATTGTAAAAATAATTTATACATATATAAGGAGTCAACAGTGTATTGAATGTGGTAAAGCTTTTACATGTGCCAATTATTCTTGCAGGTATGAAAGAAACCAAACTGCAGAGAAACCTGTATTTTTTCAATGTGGTAAAGCCTTTGCATATGAGAGTCATCTTCACAGGCATGCAAGAACACATAGTGGGGAGAAAATCTTTGAATGTAATCAGTGTGGTAAAACCTATAGTCATCAGAAAAGTCTTCAGATGCATAAAAAAACTCATACTGGAGAAAAACCCTATGAATGTAATCAATGTGGTAAAGCCTTTGTTGATCATAGTATTCTTCGAAGGCATGAAAGATTACATACTGGAGAGAAACCCTATGAATGCAATCAATGTGGTAAAGCCTTTGTTCATAACAGTGCTCTTCAAGTACACAAAAGAAGACATACTGGAGAGAAACCCTATGAATGTAAGCAATGTGGCAAAGCCTTTGCACATTGTGGTCATCTTCACAGTCATGAAAGATCTCATACTGGAGAGAAGCCCTATGAATGTATTCAATGTGGTAAAGCATTTGTGCGTCAAAGTCATCTTGAGATGCATAAAAGAACACATACTGGAGAGAAACCCTATGAATGTAATCAATGTGGTAAAGCCTTTGTTGATCATAGTATTCTTCGAAGGCATGAAAGAATACATACTGGAGAGAAACCCTATGAATGCAATCAATGTGGTAAAGCCTTTGTTCATAACAGTGTTCTTCAAGTACACAAAAGAATACATACTGGAGAGAAACCCTATGAATGTAAGCAATGTGGCAAAGCCTTTGCACAATATGGTCATCTTCAAAGGCACGAAAGATCTCATACTGGAGAGAAGCCCTATGAATGTATTCAATGTGGTAAAGCATTTGTGCGTCAAAGTCATCTTGAAATTCATAAAAGAACACATACTGGAGAGAAACCCTATGAATGTAAACAATGTGGCAAAGCCTTTGCACAAAAGAACCATCTTCAAACGCATGAAAGAACACATACTGGCGAAAGAATCTAATTAATATGGTAAAGCATTTGTATCACAGTCATCTTCAAATTCATGAAACAACACATACTAGAGAGAAACCCTATGAATGTATTCATTATAATAAACCTTTTGCCTATCACAGTCATCTTCAAGTGTATATAAAAACATACTAGAGAGAAACCTTATGAATGTAATTAGTGCTATAAATCCTTTGTATGTATCAGTAATCTTTGAAATCATGAGAAAAAGTCATATTGCAGAGAAACCCTAAAAATATAGTCTGTGTGACAGGAGTAAAACTTTTGTGTGCATCTGATCTCTTAAAGCCTTTGCTTATCACGATAGATGTTGAGTACCTGAAAATGATACTGAGGGCTATTTATTATAATGTATTAGTAAGATCTTTAACCAATACACTTACAGCCAATTACACAACATTATTTTGTAGAAAAAAAAGTTGACAGTTTCAACAAACTGTTCAAGCACTATGATCTCCATTTTTATATAGTTTGGCCCAGCTATCTCATGGGGGAAAAATGAATTTATGAAGCACTATGTGTAGAGTAAAAGGGCCAGCTAAAGAAACACACTTTGTCCCTGAATCCAGAGCCTTTGAGAGATACACTGTGGTCCTGAAACTAGAGGCATAATTTTAAGAGGGACCAAGTGAAGGAATCGCTTTTTCCCTTAAAGCACAGCCAATGAAACACACTCTAGCTTTGACAAACTGAGCACAAAACCAACCAATCAATGAGCACAAAATGTAGCCTAACTCTGAGATTGTTCAAGCACAGGGATTGAAATCCAACCAATTCCCACCCCAGAAATCTTCCTGGAAAAACTCAGCCCTAAGAAGCCCCATATAAGCCCTGTGCATGTTCAGTTGGCTGCGGACCTTTTCCATACTGGAAAAGGAATCCAGACTCTCTCCTTGATTTCTCCCTCCACAATACATGACTTGAATTACTTTTGAGTGAAGACATCCTTTTGCCCAAGTGGATCAGAATATCTCTAGTGACTTGGAGCAAAGACGCAATGGACACTTCTTCTGGGAAACTCCCTTAGGGGAGTGGAGCAGAGCAACAACTGACATCTCTGGTGGGAAAACTCTCTTAGCAGAGTAGAGCAGAGCCCATCTCTAAGAACTCTCAGAGAGAAGCAGAATTTCTCCATCTTGTGGGGAGATCATCTCTCATGGGAACACAGCTCCAGGTATAGCCTAACTTCCTGTCAGGATACCTTTCTCCTCACCACTGTAATTATATAGGATACCTTCCAATCACACCTGTAGGTATAGTCTAACTTCCTACAGACAGGGTACATTCTTTCATTAAACAATAACATAATCCTTTTAGATTTTATACTTGTCTTAAATTGTATGAAATAACTAATTCAGGTGTAAAACTTCATGGATTGGTATTAGTTCCTTTTCTGTTGTGATATAATGTCTAGGTCAACTTATAAACGTGTTTAATTTTGCCCTTAATCCCAGAGAGATACATGATTACCATGAAAGTGGCATGGAAACAACTGTCAGATGTGGAAGCAGAAGGCTAATAACTCACATCCTTAACTGGAAGCATGAAGCAGAGTGTGGCACCTGTAAATGATGTGTGGATATAAATTCTCTAAGCTGGTAGTTCCAGTAACATATTTCCTGCAACAGGGCATCATTTCCTAAATCTTTCCAAATGAAACCACCAATTACAAGGATTCGTTTCTGGAACTCATGCCTACATACTTGCTTTTGGTTACATGAAGCAATTCATGGTGAAGAAAAACTGTAATAAGCCATTAGACCAGCTAAACACTGGCTACAGGAATGAATGCTTTCAAGAGAAAAACTTTCATGAATGAAACATTGTTTTACTAAAATTTTGCTTTAATTATAATTATGTGATGTCAGTGTTTGTCTTTTAGGGTGTGTGAATGTGCATGTTGTTCCTGAGAACATTAAACACTTGGATCTTCTTGTAGCAGGAATTACAGGAGATTGTCAAAAATCAGACCTTGGTCATGGGAATGAACATTTCTTAACTGCTCAGCTATGCCTCTAGTGTTGTAAATATTTTAAAAATTATTTCAATCATTTTGAAGTCAGAAAATGGGGACAAACTCATACAAGACAAGAACCCGATTTGTGTAAATAATTTGGTAAAGTCTTTTGACACCACAGTTGTCTTCAGCTTCAAAAAAAATACATTTCATTTATTTTTCATTGTAGCCTTGGAGGAAGTAAATTACTTACCATGTTCACTCAAGACATATGGTTGAGACCCCTGCATTGTGGTTTCTATATTGAAACATTTGAGGTAGATACTCAAGTGTGCTCTATGTATGGCAAATCTATTTAGTGAAGTTTATTTTTTGATCTTTATATCCCTTCTGTGGCTTTGTTCATCTACTATCATGCTTTTACTTAGTGACAGGTATTTTTTCTGCTGTAATGTATAGAATGAGATCCTATTCATCTCAGTGGTCTATTGTTTATTTAAATAGCAGTCAGTGTGTGATCATAATTTTTAAGTAAGGTTGTCTATGAAAGGTGGTGGGTTGTTGTTGCTGGTTTTGTTTTTCATATTTTCACATATACCCTTGTGCTGTGGGATGTTCTGTATGACAAATGTGTTGCTGATTGGTCAATAAATAAAACACTGATTGGCCATTGGCTAGGCAGGAAGTATAGGCAGAACAAGGAGGAGAATAAAGCTGGGAAGTGGAAGACTGAGTCAGGGAGACACTGCCAGCTACCACCATGAGAAGCTGCATGTGAAGATCCCGGTAAGCCACGAGCCATGTGGCAAGGTATAGATTTATGGAAATGGATTAATTTAAGCTATAAGAACAGTTAGCAAGAAGCCTGCCACGGCCATACAGTTTGTAGCCAATATAAGTCTCTGTTTACTTGGTGGGGTCTGAGCAGCTGTGGGACTGACAGGTGACAAAGATTTGTCCTGACTGTGGACAAGGCAGGAAAACTCTAGCTACAAATGGTGTCCAACGTGGGGGCAAGAGTTTCCACCTAAAACCTGAGAAAAGATTCTAAAACGGAGCTATAAACAGTTCCTAATTGTCTGTCTCAAATGAGCGGCAGCTGCTGGTTTGAGCTATTGATGGGTTCCTAGCGTGCACGCTCGTCCTGCCGTATGGCGGGAATGAGGCCTCTGCAAGTGGCACGTTAAGCTGTGTGGTGGATTTAGCCTTTGCTAGTACAAAACAAAAAAAAAGACGTTTTTGGTCTATACACTGCTTGGATAAAAGCATAGAGACCCACAGTAGCTCCCAGAGCTGGAGGAAAATGAACCACCGCCATGTTGGGAAGCTTAATGGGCAGATCCAGCAGCCACAGCTGCTGCAGTTTAAAGTAACAGATTCACAATAAGACAGATTCAGATGTAATAGTTTACAATGTTTGTAAAAGATACGTAGGCTTGAAATAGACAAAAAAGGTGATATATACAGTTAAATAAACAAATACATAGTGATATATACAGTTAAATAAATAAATACATAGTTTTAAAAAAATAAAGTCTTTAAAGACACAGTAAAATTAATATAAAAAATAAGCCACATAAAGATGGGTATTACACAGAGAATCTGGATTGTGTTGTCTTTGGGATTTTTAACTGCAGAAAAACATTTGATTGTAAAAGCTGTTGAGTTATGTCAAAATGTATATTTTAAAAGTACCTTGACTTTAAAATTTGGATATAAGGATATGTTGCTTTGGAAAGGAGACTCTGCTTTTTTTCCCACAGAAAGCCAAAGGCTATGGATTTGTTCCAGATTAAGATACATCAGGTTTGACCAGCCAAGACCCCCTAAAAGGTCTCCAATGACACCATGGCCCAGATGATCCAACATCCAGAATGGTTTGAAGGCAACTGGCTCAGACAATACAGCCTCATAATCCTAAAGTTTTCCTTGTGTCCCCATAAGATACAGCGCCCACCTCCAACAGGAAGTAGTAAGAGAAGCTATGCCCAAATTCCCAAATTATATGTAATTTTACTTTGTTAAGGTTAAAACCTTCCTTTTTGAAAAAAGGGGGGGAAGTGCTGTGGGATGTTCTGTATGGCAAATGTGTTGTTGATTGGTCAATAAATAAAACACTGATTGGCCATTGGCTAGGCAGGAAGTATAGGTGGGACAAGGAGGAGAATATAGCTGGAAAGTGGAAGGCTGAGTCAGGGAGACACTGCCAGCCACCACCATGAGAAGCTGCATGTGAAGATCCCGGTAAGCCACGAGCCATGTGGCAAGGTATAGATTTATGGAAATGGATTAATTTAAGCTATAAGAACACTATTTGCAGTATGAGTTTATTAATTTTACAATGAATAATGAAATTTGAAAACTTTATTTTCTTGTTGAACTAACCAATTCTCACTAAATTACTGTTCAGAAATCCTTATAACAATGTCAAATTTCAAGTGGGCCTGAACAATAATCACAGTCTTTTCTCTCGTAGAAGCATACCCAAGATAAGGTTTATAGAAGCACTCTGAAAGAAGAAATTTTAAATGCATCCTGATATTGTAGTGAGCGTAACAGAACTAGAACTATGTTTATTCTGGCAAATATAATTGGACTAGAGTAAGTTCAGCAAAGGTTCAGTAAAATCACCCATTTTAAAGAGGGATTCAAAACATTATGTTGGTGGAAAACTTGCAAGTGTACAAATTAGGGCATATCCTTCAATTTCTATGTAAACTTCATTCAAATGATTTATGCAACTCTGGAGATAAAAGTTTGCATCAAAATTTGGAAACAGTTTTTGACTCATCTTTTAAATCTTTTTGGGTATCCAAGATTCCTTATTGAGGATGAAATATGAGAAATCTGTGAAATGCTGTGGGAGATCCTTCACACTAAAGACATTTAAGAGGCTCCTCAGTGGAGAGAAACCATGCTACTGTACAGAATGTGTCAAGACCTTTGCCTAGTACTCCACTTTTAAAGATCATCAAAATATCAATCCTGGAGAGAAAACTTACAAATGAGAAGAATGTGTCAATTACATTATATACTGCTCACATCTTCAAACCCACCACAGAATCCATTGAGGAGAAAAACTCTGTATGTGTACAGTATGAGAAATCATTTATCTACTTCTTAACTGTGTGAAATCAACACAGAATGTATACTAAAGAGAAAAAATACAGATATAAAGAATGTTGCAAGTCCAATGCCTTGAGCTCAGAGCTTATATTACTTAAGATTTATGTTGGAACAAAATTTGATACATAATCATTGTTCAACTGTTTACACATAGAAAATATTCTTTAACATAGAAAGACTTGATTAGAGTATATTAAACAATGTTCATGTCTTACTCAATGTCAGAGAAAATAAAACAAGAAGACATATGTATAACTGAAATTTTGAAACATTTTACCAAGAAATAAAAGTTATATTCACCAAGCATCTTCTTGGTAAATAAGCTACAGACAAAATAAAGTTTTGTACAGAATGATTTAGAAATTATTTTTTAAAATGGCAAAAATTCGTGTGAAATTTGACTAAAGCAAAAATGATTTAAAATATAAGGACTTAAAGCCAGGTAGAACTATTTATAAACATCAATAAGCTAGGATATTTGTGTTTGTGTTATATTCTACAGGAAGATTGTTTTGTTCATAGTATTTGCAATTTTAACTAAGTGTATATTATAAAAGTTTTAACATTAAGTTATCCCCTTGCCTAAATTCCCAATAAATGTATTAATACCTCGTGTTTACTACCTGCTGCCTTGGCATGATAGGTAATCATTTTGTAGTAAAAGATGTAATTAGTATCATCTGGTCCATGGATCCTAATACAAAGTAAAATGTGTTTATTTCTTAGTACATTGTTTGACATAAATTCTAACATAGAAATCAGTAAATGTGTTTCTGGGGAGCAGAACATTGGAATTTGTGGAGGAATGAACGAGTTTGTTTGTGTACAGGGAAACCTCCATGTCAGAGAGCACACACTCAGGCCCATGAGAAATTTGTAAAAAAAAAAAAAAAACAAAAACACTTCAGTCCCAGCTGAACAAGAAAGCCTCCTGTGTTTAGTGTGGATATTGATAGTATTCAGAAAATATTCACCCCAGCCTTCTCCAATAGTGGTGCTCCCCTACAAAGAATGTCCCTCCTGACGTGATCTAAACCAATCCCCTTATTCATTTGGATAGAATGACCACTCTACCTGTAGATATTATCCCTAAAACATTGGTCATCTCTTTGTAATGAATAGGCAAAGATTCCTAATGATGTTGTTTCTCCATCAGAGGGAAGGGTCCACCAAATTCCAGCCATTTTGTGTGTCCATTTTTCATTTTATATATTTTTCTTATGACATTATCAGCCAACTCTCACATTTAATCCCACCACTAGAGAGGCAGAGACAAGCCATTCTCTGTGAGTTTGCAGCCACTATGTTGTACACAGTGAGTTCTAGGATAGATAAGTTGATGACACAGAAAAACCCTGTCTTCAAAAACCAAAATAAAAAATAAAGTTAATTATACTACAAAAGGCATTATAATAAACAAGGCCATGGGAGACAATGGGAAAAATCACTGAAGACCTTATAGAGGCATGGATTGCCCTCATGATTCTTGGCCACAAACACTTAGGTTTTTCTTTCTGTTGAAATACTTTCATTTGCATCTACTCCACAGATTTTGTTTGTTATTCTCAATGGGAGCATCAATGTTATTTTAATCAACCATTAGAGAGAAAGAGAATGTGTGGGTCCTTGGGGATCCTTAAGGCTTCTGAATAACACCTGTGCACAACCTCCATTTGAAATGGCTAGCTAACTCTCCTGGGTGTATCAGGTTAATTCAATCACATTCCCACCTCTATACTAAAGCCCTTCAAGATGCTGGTCTGAATGCATGAAAAGACCTTCAGTTTGATCTGCCTCTGAGAGCCGGTAGCGCTCTGTATCTTGGCTCTGCTTTAGAATAGGGAATGAGGATTGTGATCCTTGCCGTCCAGTATTGGTGTGTGGTAGCAAGCATAGTGTGTTGTTGGGGTTTTGTAATCTGAAATATTATCAGGAAGGTGAAATTTTAAAATAAAGTTTCCTGAGAGGATCCACATGGAAGGGAAAAGAGAGATGACATATTCTCAGGTAAATATATAAATGGAGATGAGATATGTTGTCTGTTGTTACAGAACTGTTTAATTTGAAGCAACTCCTAGTGTTTAATTTACCTCCTAGTTTTTTTGTATTGTTTTTGTTTTTCGAGTGTTTCTCTGTATAGCTTTTCACCTTTCCTGGAACTCACTTGATAGACCAGGCTGGCCTCGAATTCACATAGATCTGCCTGCCTCTGCCTCCTGAGTCCTGGCATTAAAGGTGTGTGCCACCACTACCCGGCTCTTACCTCCTAGTTTTGACAAGGCTTTCTTTTTCTTTTTCTCAAGTGTTTTTGAAGGTAAACAGTTTAAGTGCATGTGAACCATGTGTGTTTACCCATGTTTCACATTTCTCCGAGTATTTTAATTTTTTTCTAGATAAATTTTCTCAATTAATGCATAATGTAGAATTTTTTTGAATTACACGAAAACATGTACACTCACTTCTTTCTTAGAATGTAATTGTGTCATCTCAGTCAGTGAGAAACGACTTATGTTCCATGATCCTTCCTCACGGGGATCAAATGTTCATTACATAAATGTCAAAGAAAGAGGAACACACACACACACACACACACACACACACACACACACACACACACACACACACAATAATAATAATAATAAAACCAGGGTGGAATTTCTGCTTTGCCAAAAATAATGTTTAAAATAGAATTTCTATAAAAGACATACTGTGTCATATGCAAGGATAAAGTACTTAAGTGTGATAAAACTTCCAAATGCAATTCATCAGGCATAATGCAGTGTGAAATTTCCTAATAGGAGTGTTTTCTTCTTTTTCTTCTTTTTTTTTACTAGTTTTAAAGAGTCTATTCAATTGTTTCTCTTTGTTAGCTACAAACCTCCTAGTGAGCCTGCATTGCCCTTCAGTTGTGCTGACACCTACTACCAATTTCTCCCATGGGGGCTGATGTTGATTTTCTTGTCCTGGCTGTGGAGTGTCACACTTGCCTTCATCACTTAGAGTTCACAGTTTTCTCTTTAGCAGTAGTAACAGCTTTGAGGAAGTTTACAGAGGAATATGCAAATTTAATCATTATTAATGTGGAAACTGGAGTTTCTCTTCAGGTATCATCTTTACTCCCTTGTGACACAGGAGTAAAGTTCCAACACCCTGTATATACACTCTAGCTGTTAAAGGCAGAGATGCTGATGCAGGGCTAAGTTCTATGCCTTTTCATTTGTATAGCTTACTCATGCCTGCAATGTGCTTTGATCAAAATCCATTCCAGATGAGAAACATTCTTTATGAAGGCATAACTTCTAATCTTTGCTAAAGAGATCCACCTTCTAAGAGAAAAGCATTCAAATAAATGAGCTTATGGGGTCATTCAGTGGGAACACAACACACTAAAAAGGAAGTAAGCTATGCCTTTAACTGGCCCTTTCATTTGATACATTGTGGAAATCTATTCACAAAGACAAGGCAGTACCACTCATTTGGTCATGTCCACTCCAATTGGGTTTTATACAACTACATACATATAGTTAAGAATAATTCTAGGATTGGGAGGAGGAGGCTGGAGGGACAGGAAGAAGGAAGAGTTGAATCTTTGATTGATATGTAAAATGAAAAAAATCTTAATAAAAACAATACTTCTATAGTGCTATATTTATTATATTTGTGCCTAGAGTCATTATCCTTCCACATAATTTCTGAACTCTCCTACTCTCCCATCACTCATAAGATGTGTAAGAGTTACAAACCTTAAAATGTATTGTGCTATCACTAAGTATTTGTTTCT